CCATTTTGACCTGGGTCCTGCCTCATCCCTCTTCCCCCGCGGGGCTCCTCCCCTGCCAGGGGTATCCTGGTGACTCTTCTGTCACTGCTGGAAGTGGGCTTTACCCCTCAGAAGGGGTGAGAACGGGGGGAAGAAAAGGAAACCATTGTCCTAGAGCAGCATGTACCACACGTCTTGGACCCAGAATCCACAGACAAAGTGTATGTTTCCTTGTGATCCAGCGTGAGCCTGTGTACGTGTGTCCACGCATGCACGTTTCACGGAATGCCACTCTGCCCCAGATGTGTGTCCTAGTCTGTGGGATTCTGTTCTGTGCCGTGAAAACTGTGCACGTTGTGCCCATGATGCTGACTCCGTGACCCATGAACGTGAGAGCGCACAGTTTGAAAATCATCTTAGAATTTGGTACTCATCCTCAGAAATTCACAACCTAATGTAGAGGCCCCCTGCCCCGCCCCCGAAGACCCCTATGGATGGCTGGCTGACAGACGACATACTCTACATGAGGGGATGAGAGAGAGTCACGGGTCGCTAGAACCATCTCAGGAAAAAATGTTATCATTACAGGTTAGATGTAAGACTTCGTTTAGTTGTTGTTTTATCTCCGTTTTTTTTTTTTTTTAACCTTTCCAACTAATCAGTTCTTTCTACAACATAGGCTTCCTCTTGTGTCCTGATGTTTTTTATTGCTAACGAGGAGCTGACTGCTATTCCCCAGGTGCTTTTTTTTTTTTTTAAAGATTTTATTTATTTATTTGACAGAGAGAGATCACAAGTAGGCAGAGAGGCAGGCAGAGAGAGAGGAGGAAGCAGGCTTCCTGCCGAGCAGAGAGCCCGATGTGGGGCTCGATCCCAGGACCCTGGGATCATGACCCGAGCTGAAGGCAGAGGCTTTAATCCACTGAGCCACCCAGGCGCCCCTCCCCAGGTGCTTTTTAATTAAAACACAAAACTTGGCCTCATCCTTATCTTCTTACTCAACTTATTTCAGCCCTCTCCTTTTCACATTGGTTTTTTCCAAGCTGTGTGTGTGTGTGTGTGTGTGTGTGTGTGTGTGTGTGAAAGATTTTCATTCAGAGACACATTTTCATCTTTATATACACGTATATGTATAAATGTCATCTTAAAGAATATCTATACACAAAAATGTGTCTCTGAATGAAGATCTTTCTTTCCTTATTATTTTGAATTCCTTAGCATTTAATGATGCGTCGCCCCCCACAATTGTCACAGAAGAAAAAAAAAAAACCTTTTCTTCAGATGAGATGCAGAAATTTCTATAAAAGCTCTGACTCTAAACTTATTACACAACTATAATCAAATTACAGCTGCCTTTCCCCAGCTAGGGGCATTAAATGTAATTTTTCCTGTCCTAAGAAACTTGAGTATTCTTTCTGTGCATATTTCCATTAAAAATTTTTTCAAGTCGACCTTTTTACTCTTCTGTGGTGTTCCATGAGACCAAGGAGGACACTTGGAGGTGAGATGCTGTGGCCAGCCTCTTCCTGTTCCTTTCAAGCTCTATATATATCGTCATTGGAGGGGGTAGGCAGGTGACAGTGTCCCTGGGGGTGTGTCCTGAAGATGCTTTTTGTGTTTTTTTTTCTCTCTTTGGAAATTTTAAGTATGAGATTTATTTTTTATTTTTATTTTTTAAGATTTTATTTGCAAGAGAATGCAAGCGGGGTGACAGGCAGAGGGAGAGGGAGATGTAGATTCCCCACTGAGCAGGGAGCCCAATGCAGGACTTGATCCCAGGACCCCAGGATCATGACCTGAGCCGAAGGCAGACACTTAACTGATGGAGCTACCCAGGCGTCCCTAAGTGTGAGATTTTGGAGTTCATGTCTGGTCTGCAAAAACCTATCAGCAGTGCCAGGTTCTCTCCCGGTGAAATGCAAAACTGATCAAGGTGGGAATCGTTATGACCCAAAGCCTGGGCACATGTCTGCAGCAAATGACCATTGTACACATGTGCAGAGCAGTTTGAAATTAAACCTCAGCTTGATGATCACCGTGTGAAGACCTGGGTGAAAGAAAAGTTGGAGGAGTGAGAGTTAAGGCTGCTGTGAATTGGAAGTGGCTTCCTGAGCACAGGAGAAGTTAAGGGATCGAGAACATGGAGTGAGCCGTGTGCAGAGGGCAGACAGGGACACTCACGGAAATAAAGCAGAAAGGCTCTCCACGCTGGATTTGCCAAGCCAGGACCGACAGTACCTGTGGGTTTGCCGGAGACTCCTCCCACGGCCACGCTCGGAACTTGATGCTGCTTTTATGATGGACAGCTTTGGGAAAATCAGTTTTGATTGATTGATTTCTTGAAGATTTTGTTTTATTTACTTATTTATTTTTGAAAGCGAGGCAGGGAGAGGGAGAGAGAATTCCAAGCAGATCCCAGCCCCAGCACGTGAGCCCTATGCTCAGCTCCGTCCCACAGCCCCAAGATCATGACCTGAGCCGAAATCAAGAGTCTCAGACAACCGACTGGGCCACCCAGGCACCCCTCAGATCTGATTTAGTGAAAGGCATTGGATGGCCCGCTTTGCTCCCTTTCTTCTGTCAGAAAGATGTTCATGACGTCATCCAGCATCACTAGAGTACTTGTAGGCATGGTGCCTGTTACAAGTGTGTGACTTTATGCTCTTGCTGGGGCCCCACACCCATCCCTGAGGGGGTCTGTATTTTGCCAATGAGGAAGCCAAGACTTTCTGAGGACCATGATTTGCCCAGGGCCACACAGGAAAGGTCTCCCTGGCTCCAGAATTCCTGGTCCTTCCTGTAACCCCCACCCCTGCCTCTTGCACCTGTATCAGTTACGTTGCAACCCTTCCCTCCCCCCCCCACCCCCAGTTGTGGTTTTTTCCCACTTAGTTCATAAATAGTAATGCAGTATAATAAAAAAAAGATACTTAGGCTGGGATTAAGAGAAACCACATTCCCTGCTTACTGTTATTTGCCTAAGAGGGTCAATTATCCTTCATGTCTTTGTCATATTTTTATTCCCTGTAAGATTAAACGGCCCCACCCTGAAGGCCGCCTTGAAAACAAAGCTCTTAGGTTCCCAGAACTGAGATGATCTCCTTGCAGAAATGTCTGGGTGGCTTGTGGGCCCTGGCCCTCCAGGTAGCTGGGTAGAGGCCTTGTGTTCAAGTAGATCCAAAAGACTCCACAGGGAACCCTTGGTGGAGTCAGGCCAGGGATAACCGTGCCCACCACCACCCCCGCCCCGCCCTGAGTTACCACCTTTTGTGGTTTGTTTTACATTGTCTGGATTTGGTCATTGCTGGTCTGCCCCATCCTCACTCACACCTCTTCTAGAAAGTGCGCTTTGTGTCTATTTCCCAAAGGAAAGAAGAGGTGGGTCCCCGCAGCTCCTTCAGTGGCCCTCCTGCTTTACTGGGGGAGCGTCATCAGTGCCCCTCAACTATTCTGGGCTTGAAAATGTATGCATGAAAGGAAAGGCCACATAAGGACGTTGGATTTTTCAACCAGCCGGTTAAACTGGAACGTTGGTGTTCTGCTTAGGTCGGCCTGACTGGTACCAGTATTTGGGCTCAGGCCTTTGCGCCTGCCCCCCCCCCCGCCACCCCCCTTGGGGGCGGGCAGTTGGGGGGTGGAGGCTGGGGTGCCTCAGAGGTCCCAGCCACTGATCTTGGCTTTTGGAGCAGTTCTCTCCTCTCAGTGCACCAGAAAGAGTTAATTCTGCACCCCACCCCCCCACCCCCGCATCTGATGTGATAGTGAAGAATTTTAATGGGTTCTGTGAATCAGTTTGTAAGTCAACTGCTGGGTGAACTCATGACTGAAATACAAATTTTTAAAATCCTCTTTAAAGATTTTAGGAATAACACTTTTTTTCCCCCTTCTAAGGGATTTTCTTGGGACATTTTCCCCCCTCTAAGAGTTAAGCAGTACTATTGTTTCTGTCCTACAGTAGTTCTGAAAAGGAGTCAGTCCCTTGGCTGCCAGCATGGGGTGGGTGTGGGTTTATGTAATTTGACTTCTTTTCTCTCTAAATCAGTAAATATTTACAAACGACCTTATCAAACAGCTTGGGTACATTCGGTCACTTGAAAGCGTGCACTCAGAATAGTGACTGCCCATGGGCCTGCTGCCAGGTCAGTGGGCCTCACAGAAGGACTGACCTTTTTTTTTTTTTTTTTTTTTTTTTTTTTAATAAAAATGTGGTCCACAGACCAAAAGTGGGCCTCAGAAGCAAGTCTTTCCACAGAACTAGTTTCAGAAAATTTGCTTTTTTAAGTTTGACTTATAAAGATCCAACTCCTTTAGGCTGGGGGCAGAATATGTGAACTTAGACATTCAGAAAATAAATATTGGCTTCTGGCTTCTGGCTTCTGGCTTCTGGCTTCGGGCTCCCTGTGCACCCCCCCCCACCCCCCTGCTGCTGCCCAAGTTCTTTTGTTTCTTGGGGAAGGTAATTACAGAAATCCATTTGAAGCTTAAATGTCATTCTTTTGTGAGTAAGTAGGAAAAAACAAGCAGATTACTTTTCCATTTCTTGCAAAGTGGTATGGAAAAAAGATGGTTTAAAAACACAACTCTCAAATTTTTTACAGCGGTGATGGGAGTTTGGGGTACCCTGCCCTCTTTTTCTTTCCCCATTTGAAATCTGACAAATTTAGAACACGTTTTTTAGAAGGGGGGATACATACGTCCTTCAGAGTTGACACTGAAAAATAATACAGGGATCTGAGTTTGGGGGCCACCGGGATGTGAAAATTACACTATTATTGTACCAGCGTGCCCTGGGAAAAGCATGCTCATTTCGTGTGCCGCACTTAATCCAGGTAGGACCAAAGTGCATTTTATGGTGCCATCCGGTCAGTGTCCAATATTACGTATTTCTGGCTGGCAGACAAGGACACATAAGTGAGAGGCTTTTCAAAATAAGTAACTGTGGTAATTGCTATTCATCTGCATACTGCGGAACACTGAATGTTGCTTTGTTAATCATTTTTATGTTTTCCTTTTCTTTGCAGAGCATTGGGAAAGGGTCATTGTGGTGCATAGACCCAGAGTATAGACAAAATCTAATTCAGGCTTTGAAAAAGACACCCTACCACCCATACTCACACGTGTTCAATACACCTCCTGCCTCTCCTCAGGCATATCAAAGGTAAGCAATTCAGACTTTCTTTTTTTTCTTTTGGTCTACTGAAGTTGCATTATTTTGGCAGAGATGGGCACTGAAACTAATTTAAGAGGCTGTATGATACGAAAAATAGCTGCAGGTAAATGAGAAAGAAGTCAGGCACTATGGGCGGCGTACACAGTGTCGTGTTTCCCGCAAAGCTTACCGCTTCTTGCTGCTGCAGAGGAACGTGCTCAGAAGGCTTCCCAGTGGGCGAAATACTGTCTTCCTGGGTAGAAACATTTACCCAGAAAAGGTGACAGCTTTAACATCTCCGTGTGTCACGGTTTGTTGGGACAGAAGTACAGGGATGAGTCAGGTAAGCGCTTCCGTCGTCCCAGCCTCTGACTGAGGGCGTCTTACAGGTGTTCGCCCAAAGACTCACTTGACTGTTGTCATTCCTGGTCTCCATGTGGACGCTGCTCCACAGCGATCATTTTGTTGTGGTTACGTGGTGTTTGCCTCCTCAAGGAGAACAGCAGAGGACAATGGAGGCTTTCATTCCCCCCCACATGCCCATTTGTGTCGACCCAGTGAGGTCACGGGTGCCATTTTTACAAAGATGTAATTGGAGGAGAGAGTGGGAAGCTTGTCCCTTAAAAAAAAAATAAAAATAAAAATAAATAAATAAATAAATAAATAAATAAAATGGAGGTGTTAATGTTAGCGTCGACAAAAAGTAGCCACAGTATTAAGACAGATACAAATCTTAAAATTGATTTTATCTCCCATAGCGCTAGGGTTGGAAATATATTCCTCCCTCCTGGAAAACAATATATATATATATTTTTTAATGTAAGAACGTGTTTCTATCGTAAGCACCCAGTTGAGAGACCTTATCCTTGGGCTACGTGTTTCTGTGAGTGAGGGATGGCATGGGTTCGTAGGTTTCAGTAGTTTTATGGTCCACTTCTTTGCAGATTCTTTCCCTTGTCTGGCATTTGCTGTGCAGAGGGGAGCACAAAGTGATCTTCTGCAAGCACATTAATGAAGTTCTTGTGCGTCTTGGTTGAGAAGCATTCCGTCACAGGCCCTAGACAATCAGTCTTCTGCAGGAGACGCGCAAGAACAGCTGGGCTCTCGGAGAAGACTGCTGTATGTCTGCCTTTGCTAGGCGATTAGCGTGATGGTAGCCATAGCAACTGGAGCATCTCCATAGCAACGCGTAGCCGAGACAGGTGCAGTTGCATCACAAGGCTGTTTGTTGCCTGGCAAAAGGACAGGCCATTAGTACTTAGATATACGCTGTTGCCTTAGAAACAAATAACCCTACATAGCAACTACAGTTGGTTTGAAAGATTTGGGGGAGGAAAAAAAAAGGTTGTAGCAGCTTTTGTCTGTGTTCATAAAAATCAGCGCAAGCATACTCTATTGGAAATGACAACTTGAGGTCATATAGCTGTAGGAGATGAAATGGGATTTTCCAGAGCAAGCCAGCCAACATTGTAGAAATGTCCAGAAGGACAGAGCCATATGCTTGGTTTTCTTCTTGTGGCTATAGCTCCTCCTGAGATGGAAGGGAACTGGGGTGGGAGAATTACTGATCTCTGACATTGGTGGGGAAGGCGACACTCATTATTGAGATTTTCCCCAGATTCTCCGGTTCCTTAGTCATTCTCCATTCCCCCACCCTCCAGACCCCACAGAAAACCCTCACTCTCCTCCCCAGTTTGTATCTTGGAAGTATTTCTTAGCCTTTTGTTCCTAGGAAGTTAAGAACATAAGTGTTATTCACTGGGTCCTATCATTGGTTCATTTAGACAGTACTTTGTTGCCAAATGTGACCCCAAGGGAAACACAGTAATTATTTAATAATTTGAAGGATTATGGCAGAGCTCTGGGGGTTGCATACTCAGGCAGAGGCTTTCCGAGCTGGCCTAAGCTTAATGACTTCATTTGATTTTTTAACATTGGCATAAAAATGCAAACCAGAGCTTTTGCGATGAAAGTAATTTCCAGCGGACGACTTCAGATCCTGCTCTGTCACCTCCAATTCCTCCTCTCCCAGGTGACAGAAGAAAAAAAAAAGTTTTTGCATCTACCCCTGGGGGCGCTCAGATTTCACCTCCGTAAAGGTCACTGGATGTGGGGTGAGACGACGGATCAGATTCTAGCTAGCCTGCTGCTTCCGTGTTGTCAGTCTGAGGACAAGTCACTTTCTATGTCCTGGGGACAGCTATCCCTTCATCTCGGAGCTCAGGTTTTGCTCCAGGGTCGTCTGGTGTGTGTGTTTAGGGTCCTAATGACTGGATGACCATACAGTATTTGGATAGCTTACAGTGACGTGGTATCTGGTTCAAGTCCAAGCCCCCGGGCCACTTGTTGATGGGACTTGGGGAGGATGGACGTGGGACAAAGCACGTCATTAAACAGGGACCAGAAATGCCGACTCGACAGTATCTGGCAGGTCCTCTGTGAGGTGGGGAATCACTCGTCATCCGAGTGGGACACCTGGGAAGTGCTTGGCATTGGCGGGGCTGGTGCTTACTTAGCATGATGTTGATTGTACCGGGTGGGTGGTTATTGCTCATGCTTGCAGGTGTGCCTGGCGAGTAGCTCCACACTGATCCTCGGGTGCCTGAGCACTGCAGGGACAACGAGGCATCGGACAGCACTGCCCCAGACGTTGTTCGGGGCCAGATACAGTGCTTAAACATTGTAGCTCGTGGACTCAGGCTTCCGTGTTCCAGTGTACCCTTCTGGATGTGTGTTAGGCTGTTCCTCTGTACCTGCCTCTTTTGACACCCCAACTGTGAATTGTTTTTGATGCAAATGCAGAGCTCAGTGACATTAGCTATAACAGAGTAAGAACTGAGTGACTTTTTTTTATAATTAAAAAAGTTACTTTTTAAGTTTTTTTTCTTTTTTTATTAGAGAGAGAGAGCAGGAGCAGGGGGAGGAGCAGAGGGAGAGGGAGAAGCAGACTTCCCACTGAGCAGGGAGCCTCGTGTGGGGGCTCGATCCCAGGACCCCAAGATCATGACCTGTGCTGAAGGCAGATGCTTTGCTGACTGAGCCACCCCGGCACCCCAGAACTGAGTGGCTTAGCAGAAGTTTATTTTCTCACAGATCTGGACGTCTGGAAGTCAGAGATCCAGGTGTCAGCAGCGTTGATTTCTCAGGCTGAGGGAAAATCAGTACCAGGCCTAGCGTCTGGCGGACGCTGGCATTCTTTGGCATTCCTTGGGTTCTAGAACCTCAGTCCCTGCCTTCATCTTCACCTGGTGCTCTCCTGGTGCCAGATTTCCCCTTTGTATAAGGACACTGGTCTTATCGGCAGAGGGGCCTGCCCTCCTCCAGTGGGATCTCATTTTAACGAATTACACTGCCAGTGACTTCACATTCTGAGATACTGGTGGCCAGGAGTTTTGGTGGGAGGGGACACAAAGAATTGCACCCATGACGGACGGCCCTTTTCTTAGTAAGGCATTTTGGTGGTAAAAATGTGGAGAAGTGGAAGGTAAGGAGATACTCAAAAAACAAAACACTAGGGTATGACAGAGAGACACAAGAGCTGAGCTGAAATTGTTCCCAGTGGCCAAAACTGGGACAGTTTGAGGAGCAAAATAAATAACAGTGTTGAGTTATAACCCAAAACGTAAAGTATGATTCTGTGAGTCCACACTGGTGTAAATAAATGATGGAATTAGTAAATGGGCATAGAGACAAATCTCCCATTGAAAAGAATTCCGGACAATTTAGGGGAGATACTCATCCCCTCCAGGATTTGGAGCTTAACTCCCCACCCGGAGTGGCTGCATTGCTTCCACAGAGTGAGTATGGAAGGGAGCAGAAGAGGAGGTTCATAGTGGGAAAACCTGGCACCCCTCACCTTGGCCAGGTGCTCAAAGCTAACTTCCATGATTAGAGGTTGCCAGCAAGCACCTTTGATAGGATGTCATGAACCTGACAGTTCACCTCTGTGGTTCCCGCCCCCCACCAGCCCCCAAGTCCATAAGCCCTGCCGGATTGCAGGAAAAACATCAGACAATAGTTCTGTCCCCAAGGCAGGGGTGGGGTGGGCACTCTCCAAAATCCCTGATTGGTGCTCTTCAAAGCTGTCAAGGTCATCGGGGGGCAAGGAAAGTCTGGAAAACTGCCATAGACCTGAAGAGGCTAGGGAGATGCCAGGGACTGAATGGTAACACAATATCCTGGATGCGTTCCTGGAACCCAAAGGACACGAGGGAAAAACTAGTGGAATGTGAATAAACCGCGCACGTTGGTTGATGGTCACATACCAGAGTTGGTTCCTTAGTTGTGATGAATGTCCCCAGATCATGTAAGCTCTTACATCGGGGAAACTGAGTGAGGGGTGTCCGGGAACTCTGTGCTGTCTTTGTAATTTCGCCGTTGAAGAAAAAGCAGCCCCCAGCACACAGGCTAGTTGAGTTTATCAGTTTTAAATATCCAGGTTCATTTTTGGTCTAATGAAACGTCAGCTCACCGCGGTGCTGAGCGCTTGCCTGACCTACTTTAGGTCTCTGTCTTCATGATGCTACATCTGGAGGGCTGCTCATTGGGAGTTCTAGTTTTTACCTCAGTTTTCTATAGGGTCAGAGGAGCCACGCAAGTGGACATGCCTCTTAATCAGATGTTATGGTTCTCAGAACTTTACTGTTACAAAATGGCACCCAACTTTGCTTTGTAAGGTCCCTAGGGCCAAGCCCAGGGAACTCCGCTGATCCTGCAAAATTGACCTCCTTGAAGACTCCCCCACATCAGTCGGTGTGGCCTTCAGACTCCGGGCCTGGGAGGAGGAGGGAGGGATGGTAGTTTTGGGTTTCTTCCCCACAGGCTTTCAGAAAAGTCCTATTGTCTATTTTAATGGTTAGCTTGCATATGCCCCTCCTTCCTGCACATGGAATTTCTCGTTAAAGGATATGCATATTTCATGCATATTTTAATGCTTTTGCTATAAGATATTGCCAGATTGTCTTCCAATTTTACACTCTGTTCCAATCTATACTCCCACCAACTTTTTA